CTCCAGCACACCCCAGCGTGGCGGCTGCCGGGGAGCAGCTGGGGTATTGGGGTACGGTGCAGCTCCCACTCTGGAAGCCCTGCTATGTCTTCTGCAGCAACAGCACAACACAAAGTGCACGAGACCGAGACAGGCGACAGACAGAGGCGGCAGCTGAAGAGCCACATGATAAACTGCAGCCGGTGGCCTTTGCAAAGTCACCTGTGTCTCACCCACAGACCTGATGCCCGGCCGTGGGCCACCTCCTACAGCCCCGTGCTCCCTGAAGCGCAGCGTTAGCAGAGCTGGGTGAAATGGAGCAGAACCACTATGAGCAAACCACTCAGAAAGCTCTAACCACTCTTTAACATAACATTGTGATATACATTTTCTCCCAAGCACTGGCCAGATATCTTACTCTTGCCTGCCCCAAAGGATTTCATCCAGATTTCTCTCCTCCAAACTCCTTCCAGTGCTGGGGTGAAGCTGCACCAGAGCTTCTGTCTGAAGCGACTTACAAATGCAAGTGTCTCATTAGCAAACACATCTTAGATAGTGTCCACTAAGTCTCCCCCAAGTTGGAGGGAACAACAAAGAAATGGATCTGCAGAGGACTGAATTACTAAAATGTGAAGGACTGGTGAGGGATATTTTTTTTTCTCTGTAGGGTGTCATGTGAAATAAATGATGAGCAGAAGCAGCAGAGTCTCTGGAGTACATCCTGCCTTAAGTATGTAGGAGCTCCTGCAAGCAGCTACCCCAGCACCCCAAGCCCGGGACCTTGCCACCAGCTTCTCATGCTGATATCTGCAACCCGTGATGGACAAGCAGGTTGCACTATGCTCACTCACACCTCCAGAAACCCACCAGCAGGACAACCAAGGGCAAGACTCATCTTTAAACCCTTCTAGCCAGGAGCTTTGCTAGTGACAGCAGACTCCTATTGCTTCTAGCATTTAAAATTCAGGCCAGCAGTAAGCTGGTCTGTATCGGGTGGTGGAGATGCTCTGAGACCTGCTTGCTAATTTAGCTGGCATCCCTGAGCTACCTGAAGATGTGCAGGAGGAACAACACGTTGTATCCAGCCCAGAGACCCCCACACTGCAATGTGACAAGGCTGCAGGGAATCACGCAGACAGGCTCTCCTGAAATGCTCTGACACCGCAAGGAAACAAAACGCGGGGTTCCCACCGTGGGGTGGGAAAGAGAGCAGAGCTCGCCCCCAACACCTGGTGCTGCTGACAGCAGCGGCCGGAGAGGGCAGCTGTCCTGCCCTGCACAGCTGCTCGGCCGGGAGCAAGCGACGTCCTGCAAAATCCCCCAGGGATTCACCTGCGGGTCTCGGCAGCAGCTATTTGGAGCTCTTTCCATCAAAACACCTCCTGTACCTCCCATGGCTGCCCTAGACCCCCAACAACTCTGCGCTGGCCCCTTCTCTCCACGGCCTGCTTAGCCAAGGGGATCGGCATCTCCACCTTGGCAGAGGCGAGCACGCATCCCTGTCTATGCGACTGGCAGCAGGAGTGGGCTTCTGGCCTGGAAACACTCCTCAGCCCCAGGAATTAGCCCGTTCTTGAGTGATGCCCTCCTAGAAATGTGGGTTTCCAAATGTGCATCTGCAAAATTCAGGTGCAACCTTTGATTTCCCCTGGAGTGTTGACAGGGGACAGAAAGTACGTATGTCCCACGGACCTCTCCACAGCTGGCATGGGGAGATAATCAGACCTTCCTCCTCTCCGAATTTAACCACTACCCGGGGTCCTGTTCCCATCCATCCCTGGCTCATGTCAGCTCTGAGCACCAGCCACAAGCTCGACGGCAACCCGAGTCACCGACTTGTATTTGCACCCTCTTCCTCACTGGCGCTGCACTTGCGGAGCGGTCGGCTGTCACACCGCGACGGGCACATCATCATCATGCACAGAACAAGAGGGTTGCATTGTAAGAAAGAAACAACCACAAACAGTAATAATAATTTTCCCAGTGCTTTGGCAGCAGCTGTAATATCAGCAGTTGTAAAAATCTGTTCATAAATAATGCAAAATTGTTATTTACCATCAGAAATAGCAGCAGCATTTATAAAACAGGCCCTGGAAGAAATAATGTGATTCTGAAAAACATGAATAATTGAGAACCTCTGATTCCACGGGATTATTTCTCTGGCAGGCCAGCAAACTCATACTCAGCTTCTCCGATAAGTGTTTTGCTTAGTTCTCCCAGGATTAACAACCTGGACTACTCTGTGCTTTTGGGTGCCAGTTTCAGTGGGTGAGGGAGGGCTCCCATAAATACGATTATGGACGTTACAGGACAGGGTATCTGGCTGCCTGCATGCAGGTTTGCACACCTGGGGCTGTCGACGGAGGATGCCCAGGAAGCACTACTGGGATGGAAATGGAAAGAACAGACATTTCATTGCTTAACTTCAAATTCCAGAGGGTTTTGCAAAGCAAGGCATCCTTCTTGTGGCTGGACAACCTGAGCAGCTCACCCTGTGAGAACCCCTTGGCCGGGTGCCGCCCGCAGCATTTCGATGCAGGCAACATGGGACATGCGGCTTCTTCTCGGGAGGCCAAAATAGCAACGAATTGCAAGCACACGCACTTGATAGATGCGCTCAAAACATCAGCGCTGGCTAAAATACTCCTTGTCAAAACATGCTTTTCAATGAAAACAAGTCTTTCCATGGGTTTTCTCCCCCTCCCCCCATGATTGAAATTTTATAGTTTTTCTTAAAGAAAACAACCGATGCTGGTAAAAGATTTTAATGAGAATAGATTTGGTGTTGTCTTTCTAAGTATAGGTGAAAAAAATTTTTTTTGAGAAATTGTGGGTAGGTGGGGGTAAATAAAACCCATACAATTTTTTTCAACTTCATGCAAAACGAGTGGGATTTTCCAATGACCTCTACAAACCACACTTGCTCAAACCCACAACCAGTTCATCAGAGTCTGGAAAGTGAAAATACAAGGTCAGATTTTCCACTGCAATTGAGATTTTATGGGTCCTGAGCAAGGATGCAGGGATCCTGCTCTCCAGAGGCGCTCCTCTGACTCCCACCTCCTCCTGCCAGTCAGGTCAGTCCCCAAAACTGCAGTCCCCATGACCAGGCATGGCAGTGATGGGACTTAGGAGCAAGTGCCAAGGTCACTGGCGTGCACATCACAGGGGCATCTGCCATGCAAGCCACTGTGTCCCAAGGCCATCCACCCTTCTAACAGGGCTCCTCCATATCTCACAGGCTTTGCAAAGGAGCCTGAGCATTCATAGGACACTCCATTTTCCAGCTGAACAATCCAACACAACCAGCAACAAATTTTGCTCTCACTGGGTGAACTGGTGCAAGACCCAGTAAGAAAACTGGATTACCTCCAGCCATCCCAATATGAAATTGCATCCCGCCTGCCAAAGCTTTCACATGTATCTGCTTGCAGCTCGGGGTCTCCTGGCTCGTGGGTTGCTCAGCCCTGCCTCTCCCCAGCGTCAGAGAGCGGCTGGGAGCCCCCGGCACACGGCACCGGCAGCTCCGCATTCAGCTGCAGGGAGGGATGGGAAGGAGGAAAGCTGTCTTCTCCCATCCCTTCCATTAAGGCTTGCACTTCAGCCACACAAAGGAGCTTCTGTGCCTCAGTCACACCCTGGGAGGGAGAACAACACCAGTCAGGGAGATGCATGAAGTGCTTTGAACCAAAATGACACAGCTCAGCTGCTCATGCAAGTGCAGA